TCGTAGTTCTCATTTGTAAGCGAGAGTCCGGAAACGGCATTATAAGCTACCCCACCTAGTAATGACTTTAAGTAACTGAACTTATTTACTTTCGATAATGAGTCTGGATAGCTGCCTCGAATTGACTCCAAAATTCCTGCCAATTGCTAGAATCACCAAAAAATTTAGCGATAGTCAATTTTGGAAGGCAAATAATTTTATTATTTTCAAGTTTGGAATCTGTAGCGGTTTCATTAGGATCCGAATTTTCGAGTTTGTGTAATTCCCTCAATTTTTTTCTTGCTCTAAATTGCCACAGTTGGATTTTTTCTTCATATTCTAGAGCGGGTGAAACTTCAAGTTAAAATTCATCCTCTGGGACCTTCAAATCCTGTTCTATTTGAGTGTTTAAATCACTCAGAGTTTTTGCCTTTTCGTTTATTATGTCTAAAGTTTCTTCTATTACATTTATACTAAATAGACTAGAATATATAGACTAGAATAGACTAGAATAGTGTTTGATGGCAGCTCACATGAGTTCGGGCAGCTATCATTGAACGATTGTCTATGGACAGGGGCAAATTTAAATTATAATATGTTCCATCTGCTAATTAATTTCCGATTAAATAAAGTTGCAATTTCAGCGGATGTAGAAAAAGCATTTTTGCAGATTGCTTCAGAAAAGAATGGCAGAAAAGGATCAAGACGCAGTGCGATTCCTGTTTGTGGAAAACACACAATTAAATGATCTAAAACTAAGCGACATATAGATTCAAGCGCGTAAATTGTGGGATTAAGTCAAGTCCGTTTTTGTTGGCTGCAACAATTAAAGAACACATTAGAAAATATCGAGATGAGCAGCCAAGATGTATTTGAAATATTGAATTCTTGTGTTTATGTTGATGATTTTATTACTGGACAGGACAGTGTAGATGAGGCTCTAAGCTTATCGCGTAAAGCTAAACAAATTATGAGTGCAGCAAATATGAACTTGCGTAAATGGGTATCCAATGATCCTGAGCTGATGAAGAAAATGGGAAAAAGAAGAGTTCGAGATCCATCCACATAAAATCAATGACTCAAACGAGACACTTAAGATCTTGGGAATATCTTGGGATACTAATGAAGACAGTCTGAGTATAGACACAGACAGTTTGATGGAATTCCTTAAGAATAAGCGTAATACGAAACGGTTCATCTTGAAAACTGCCGGGAAGATTTTTGATCCCTTTGGGTTAATAACTCCATTTACTGCTAGACTTAAATTCTTGCTACAAGAACTTTGGGTTCGAAAATTGACATGGGATAATGAACTACCTACAGATATCAGTCAAGAGTGGGCAAAGTGGTACTGTGAGTGCCATCATCTAAGTAAAATTGCAGTTCCACGATTTATTTTGAATCCCGAAGCCGATTCCATAGAGATCCATTGCTTTTCAGATGCCAGTCAGAGGGCGTGCGGTACTGTTGTCTACGTAAAACTGCGTAAACAAGAAGAAATTTCTGTGAGTTTCGTCGCATCAAAATGTCGTGTTGCACCTGTGAAAAGAATTACTTTACTTCGTCTTGAATTATTTGGTGCATTACTAGCAGCGCGTTTAGGTTCTGGAATGAAAAAAATTGCTCGATCAAAAGAAATCCTCGAGAATATTTTATTGGACTGACTCCAAAATAGTGCTATGCTGGATTAAAGGTACCAGTACCAAATGGAAATCTTTCATCGCCAACAGAATTAACGAGATTAGGAAGTTAACACAGCCGACAGAGTGGTTCTATTGTTCAACAAAAGAGAACCCAGCAGATGTTATGACGCGTGGTGTTCAAATTGACTTTCTTGTGAAATGTTCCAAATGGTGGTCATGCTGTGACTTTCTAACATGCTCAGAGATTCCTCATCAGGACTTATCATTTGATGTAGTTGAAGAAGTGTGTCCAAATGAACTTAAAAAGGACAATGAACTGCATAATGATTCTAACTTAGTTTTAATTGCATGTAATGAACCAAACCTCTTAAATGATATTCTTAATTTGTCTTCTAATGATACTAAACGTATTCGTATTGTAAGTTTCATTTTCAGGTTTATCCATAATCTTAAGAACCCTCAGGCAAGGAGGTACGGAGTACTTACTTTAGAAGAGATAAAGGATGCTGAGGTGTATATTTTATTAGAGGCCCAAAAAAAGTGAGTTTAAAGAACGAAATAAATCAATTAAAAAGAGGTAAGTGTGTAAACCTCAAAAGTAAATTAGCATCACTGAATGTGTTTCTTGATAACATGGGGCTAATTAGAGTGGGCAGACGATTGTCCTATTCGGACCTACCTGCTAATAGTAAACACCCTATAGTTTTTCCTAGTAAACATTGTTTAACTACTATTTTTTAGAGCATTTTCATTTGAAGTACTTTCATTTAGGATCACAGTCACTGTTACATCAGGTAAGACAAAGGTTCTGGCCACTCAATGGCAGAAATAATTGTAGAAAGATCATCTACAGATGTGTGACATGTTTTAAAAACAAACCCAACACAGTTCAACAAATAATGGCTGAGTTGCCCAAAGAGCGTGTCACACCATCATACCCATTTGACATAACTGGTGTTGATTTCTGCGGCCCATTTGCAATAAAGTTTAAGAATCAACGTAAGGGAGTTTTGAACAAAATTTATGTTGTAGTAAATGTATGTATGAGTACAAAAGCCATACACTTAGACTTTTTGACAGACCAAACTAGCCAATCTTTTATTTCGAGCTTAAAACGTTTTTTCTCTAGAAGGGGAAAATGTACTGGAATAATGAGTGATAATTCTAAAACCTTTATTGGTACTAGTGTAGAACTAAAAAAAAAAAAATGCAAAAATTGGTTGAGTGTCCAGATGAGAATTTAGCGAGTTTTTATACCACTGAAGGTATAGAGTGGAAATTTATTCCTCCAAAGTCGCCAAATTTCGGCGGAATTTGGGAGGCCAGGGTTAAATCATTTAAAAGTCATTTGAAGAGAGTTATTGGTAATCAGTGTTTAACTTTAGAAGAATTTTTAACTGTTTAAACTGAAATTGAAGGAGTATTGAACTCAAGACCTCTTACTCCAATTTCAACTGATTGCAGTAATTTTGAAACTTTGACCCCAGGTCACTTTTTGGTTGACCTATCACAACTCTAGCTGAGCCAGATTTATCCAACATAAATGAAAACAGACTTTCTAAATAGCAAAGAATCACTAAGTATACACAAAAAATTTGGAAATTATGGAAACGTGATTATCTTAATAATTTACAAGAACGTCACAAGTGGCAATTTTTAAAGGATGACGTTCAGTTGGGAACTCTTGTATTAATAAAAGATGAAAATTTGCCTTCAACCAAATGGTTAGTGGGGAGAATAGTTGAGGTTTTTCATGGTAGGGATAACAAAATAAGTGTAGTAACTGTAAGATTACCTAATCAGCATTTGCTGAAACGAAATGTTCGAGATATATGTATACTTCCTGTAGAATGATGGTTTATTTCTATTATTAACTGGTATTTGTTGTAATAATTTGAATGTATATTTTTCAATATTGTGATTTGTTATTAAGAAGTAATTTATTGCAGTACCTTTATATTTACATTTATTTAAATAATAGTTTTGAAATTGTTAATTTCAACGTGTTTTGTATTAGCTGAGAAATGCTCGGCGCCAGAGCGGAATCTTGGCTAGTGGCCCATGCGCCGCTGGAATTGGCGGTGAAATGTATTCTGTGAGAAATTTGATTTTTGTGGTACATTCGTATGTTATATGTTACTCTGTGAGGTGAAACCTAGCGCCAGAGTGTCGCTATGGAAAATAAATGAATTGAAACTGTGTAATGTGTGTGGAGTTATTTTATTTTGATATACAGCTATCGACAGAAAATAGAATAAGTCAATTCAAATATGGTTAATAAAAAAGTGAATTTCCTGTATGTTTACAACATATTTATTTAACACAGATTTGGTGTTTGTAATGAAATGCAATATGCCTGAAACATACAAATCAAAGCAAAATAAAAATGGCATACGCTCGTATCATAAATACGGTTCTGTACAAATTAAAGACATGTTTTTGAATTAAACAAGGAAACAAAAGAAAAAGTAATATTAATAAATTTCAGCAATTAAGAAACGAAATACTAAGCTTGCACTATTGTTACAGTAATTTCAAAACATTTTGAACATGAATTTAAATCCGTAATAACATAAATATAGGTGTATACACTATTATATTATTTACGGTATAGAAACAAAGATTTATGAACGTTTCAGTTAATGTACATATTAAGCGCAAACATAAAGTAATATTATATGCACATATAAAAAATAAATTCAGGATTCTGCCAAAAATATAATTAATCAAGCACACTTCAATTTCAATTACAATCGGCAAACTAAGGCACCATATACAAAAAGATTTAAAAGCTGCAAAACAAGACATTTCTTTAATTTTTTTTTTTTTTTCTTTTCATTGGTGATATAGTTTCCGTATACGTGATTTTAAACCAATCACAGCTTAGAAATACGTTGGAGCTTCCTACATTTAACGATGTGTCATCAAAGATGGAAATTAAAAGAATACTGACAGACAGACAAAGTAGACAAATGTCTTGTTTTGCACTCGTTAAGTCTTTCTGCTCCGACGGGCTTGTGCGCATGCGTCGAGGAAATTAACCGCGGTTGCCGACATAATTATGTTATTACTTTATTAATATTTTATTTATATAGGGAATCGATTCTTCTAATTTTAACAATTATTATAGACATAGAATTGTCTTGGTGATAAAACTCTCTGTGTGTCTGTTGTCGAAACGTTTGTAACAGGTGTTTCGATATCGATTTTCCCAAAGGAGGAGTAGGGAACTGGTGCAGCACCGAATTTGTTCGATAATGTTGAAAATTTTTTCTCTTCGACCTTAAATAATTCTTATTATCTTCCAGTATTATTAGAAATAATTGAACTTGAGGGAGGCATTAAGATTTCAGACTAGAAAACCACGTGCAATTTGCAGCTTAAAAATTTTCAGAGATGAATAAAGGGTTTGGCAACAGTAATTCAATTGCCCCTTGTGCCATTTTGTATTGTTGAATGAATAGTGTGTATTTTGATGCGTTATGTTCAATTGATGGGTGCTTTTGACGATTAATTATGCTAAAGTATAATTGGTTTGTATTCGTTTAAGAGTTAAAATGATGATGTTAACGTAAAGTTTGTTGCAGATTGTATAATTGTGCACCTTTTTCCGTGGGTTGAAAAACTATTACACTTATTTCCGTAAAAGTGAAAAGAAGTATTCACTAGCGTGTACCGGCATTACATTTATTTTGAATTCATCATACACTGTATAATTGCCAAATTAACTTTTACTGGTGACTTAAATACTGCCTTATATGGTTTCTTTTATATTGGCGGGAATATTTGAGTAAGAGTCTTATTTAGTTGGGTAATATATTAAATTTAAAACTATAAAATTAACAGTTGTTGATATCTACGATGAATCTCTATATATTCGTACTTTGTGTAATTAACTCCAGTGTGCAGTATATATGTATTTAAATATTTGGTTACATTTATTGACTGACTTGTTAGTTTTATTACCGTATCAAACATTATTCAATTTATGCACTACTTTTTGACAATTATTTGTGGTTTACATATATTAAGTTGCTACGTATTATATAATTATAGGTCTTTATAAATAGTACACAGCTATTGTTATTCTTTTATGTATTTTTTAAATGCTCGTTGTTAATAGCTGGCTCTGTATTTGTAAGGTAAATATTTATACACCTGAGAACCAATTTAAATATTATGTGGACTTCATGCATTACACTGTGTTTGACATATGGGATATGCCCAAGAGTGGTAAACTTTTAATATAAATATTTTGAGATACTTCAGATTATTTTTACTAAGTCACCAAGACCAAATGCAATATTAAACACACCCCAAAATGCCTTTCCAATGCATTTTCTGATAAAATAGTAGTCTTTTAAGATTTTGTTATATAAAATAAGTAGGATAGCGTATGATTACTTATTCAAAGAGTATTTTCATTAAACTCAAATTTGCAGAGATGTTTATAGTTTCAGCAGCAGGTAGAAAGGATTGAAAGTGCGAAAGCATATATCTGTTTTGAAAATTATGTAAAAGAAGCTAATTGAGTTTGGTATATATTAAAATCAAAACTGCATAAAATTGACAGTTGCCGTCAATTTACGGTGAATCTATATCTTCGTACTTTGTCTATAATAAGATTCAACTTTTAAGTGTATGCTTTTAGTAAGTTACCATTTTAATTATTAAATGTGTTAAAGGTTGATAGTTATATGATAAACATAGCTATGCATGCTAAATTGTAATTAATATCTACGTTACTTAAAATGGCATGTCTGCAGAATTATTTTAAAGAATGCATGCTAAAGGCATTTGGTTTTGAGATGATGTTTTATAGTTTTTCTTCATTTTAATTCCTGTGTTTGCATGTAAAACAATCAGGAAAACAGCAAAAATGCACATTATCTTATTAATTTTTTTTTTAAAACTCGGTGTCAGTAAATCTGTGGTAATCTCAAGTAGTGTTTAAATGGGGAAAGTGCAGAATCGCCCACTGCTTGGCGCATATTTCAAAATCCTCAACTGGGCATGCTCTCACGTCTTGTCTCCTGGATTTGCAACTCCTCCAGAAGACACTACGCAAAGCGCAACATTTACAATGACGAACAGGTAAAATAAATACAAAATAAAAGTTGAAGCAAAATTTTGAAAACTAAAAATCCTTTAAAAACAGCATAATAATTTTAAAAAACAAACATGGCTAAGAAAACATAGTAAGCTTCAAAAACTTAAAATCGTTACAAAACCCTGAAGAATTAAAATTCATTCAGCTATAAAAAAATAGGGAAAAGTGCATAATCACTCACTGCTTGACACGTTTTATACAAACTTGGTATCGATGTACATATCGACCTAATAAAAAAATCCCAGAATTGTACAATCTCTTGACTTTATCCATGTACGCATTGACCTATTTTTCACTTAAAAAGTCAAAGAAAATTGACAAAAATTCAATTCTTCTTACTCTTGTAAAAAGCACCAAGCAAATAAGTGGGAAATTTTTTAAACTGGAAATCTTTTCAAAAAAACCTAATTACTTTAAAAACTAAAATCACTTCAAAAACATAGTAAGTTTAAAGAACATAAAATCCTTACAAAAACATAATTTTAAAAACTAAGAATTGTTACAAAACACTGAAAATTAAAACTTTCACTTACCTGAAAAGGGGTAATCCACTCCGCTCAGCCGATGAACGAAAGTAACGAATTCTCAAAATGTTCTCAAATTATTTTTTTAAATAACTGCACCTCTACCATCTGTTATTGTCTACACCAATCAGAAATTCTAAATTTTAAAATACATACTGAGCATGCGCAAAAATGCTCTGAAATTCGCCTTCCAGAACGGCAAAATCGACTTGCATACCACATTCGGCACTCTTGTCAATCTTGTAAAAAGCGCCAATTAAGTGGGCGATTCTGAACTTTAGCTGTATAAATCTGAATGTTTGCATCACAATTTTATTTTTGGATGAATTGCAGATTGAACCCAATTTGAGTCATTTTAAAATTTTAATGATCAAAAACTAAATGTGCATGTTTTTTTAATCATCTGCATAAAATTCTAATCTAGATATGCTTAATATTTAGTACATATGCTGTAATATCAATTATCATTTTTATACAATTATTGTAATTAGTGACATGCAAAAAAAAAGTTGTGTTTCAGGAGAGGGGAGGGGGAAGTATTATATTTATATGTACTAGTACTTACTCCTTTCCCAACACATGCATTTTGTTAGCAGCTAGATATTATTTTCCACTGAATTATATCTTAATTTAAAAACTGATATTTTTTCTTTTACATACAAGCTATTGTGCATTTATTTCCACAAAAGAACCATTTGGCAACTGTGCATTTTTGTCACCAGTGGCAAATAATTCAAAGATAACAAATAGATTAAGAATATGAACATACGTTTTAAAAAAATAGATTGTTTATTTATGTTTTATTAGTTTTACAAGTTTTAGGAAACAAAATCTAATTGTGTAAAATTTCAGTCTTAATGAATGTGATGGCTGCACTTGATGTATTAATGCAATTTTTTTTTTTACATTAGGTAAAGATTACTTTATAGTCTTAAATTACCTTGGTTTAATCTTTGGATTATGGTAACTGGGCGATTTTTTGGCGACCAACCCTGCTAGTTTTTGTTTGGATGCCATTTTGTTTTCACGAAGTAAAGGCATTTTTTTTTCTTTTTACTCAACATTTCCAACAATCTGCTAGCCGAATTATGCTTATGCTAGAACTTTTATAGAACAAAAGTGCTTAATCATGACGAAGATTAGGTGTGAAATTGGGACAAAGTGCAGAATCGCCCACTGCTTGCTGCAGGGGTGTTTGTGCTCCGGGGATTTTAAACTTCGATACCCGGAAATTCTGGGGATCGTCGTTCAAAAGGAAGTAGGAATAATAATGAATTATTTATTTTGATCTGGGTAATTTTGTTTGCTTTGAAAGCAGAAAACGCAAGGTCAGTGTGTGTGGTGAAAACCTTTCCTTTCTTTCTCCAAAGGCAGTGATAATGCGTGAAAAGGGGGGAAAACTTCTTTTTTGTTCTTTCCTTATTGCGAGTTATGACTCATTCCCCCGGTTCTCGAACATTCCCTTCTGGATTCTTTTCAGCAAGTAGGCGCGGCAGAAAAAAAGGAAGATACTTTATTCAACCAGATGTGCGATCACGTGACTGTGGGTTCAAAGGTCTTATCTCTCCTGGCGTGGTGCCAATAAGTAGAGAAGGGGGATTTTTCGCCCTATTAGCTATTTGTCATTGATTGCTTCTCAACTTTTTTTTCTCCGCTGTGTAAAATTTTCGTTTAATTTATTGATGCACGTGTAAATTTTTCGTTTTGTTTATTGAAATATTTTTTTATTTATGTACGCAAGAGAATTCCACTATGAAATTTCTCGATATAAATAGTGATATTATACAATTAGAAGAAGGTGTCCGGAATGCATTTAGGTGGAATTGGATTGAACTGAGAGATGGTAATGGCAGACTTGCCAACTGTCCCGATTTTCGACCGCTCTCCCGCTGTTAAGTTTAGGATTGTGTATCCATAGATCGCCAATAGATGGCGGTAGTGTTTGTTTGTAAAAGGAAACTGTGATGTCAATTATGTATATGTATCAGTTCGTCTTTGGTGTTCGTGAATAAATGTTGTGTGGAAGAACGCTCCTCTGTTTATTACTTTAACTGCGATCCAGTCTGTTTATTAGAGATTTACACATATTTTGTTTATGGTGCCTGCAAACCGAGATTATTACGAGCCAGAAAATCGACAGACTGAATATTTCGAAAATGGAGGGCGTTCTTGAAAATTTGAAAAAGAAACGATCGGTTGTTAGACAATTAACTACGAAACTGATAACCAAAGTCGAATCGAATTTAGCAAATAATATTCCGCTAAATGAGAAAATTGAGATAATCGAGGATTTATATGAACAGTTAATTGAGAAAATCAATGAACTGAAAAGTTTAGATTCAGAAATAGAAACGAAAGTAAACTTCGGAGGAGATTGAAAATGAAGTTACCTCAAGTCAAGAATACCAAGGATAAAACTATTATATGGAGAGGAAGAATGCAACGATTTTTGAAGAAGAATTCGGAATCTTCTAGAACAGTTCATCAGAAACCAAACGGCTAATGTTGCACTTCCAGTTGAAACGAAAACCAGTGAAGTTACCAACGTCTGCAAATCGGAACGTATTACGGAGATTCATGTAAATGGTTGGACTTCTGGAACCAGTTCGAAAATAACAATTCGTAATCATAGTGGATTGAGAAAAACTGAAAAATTTGGCGTACCTAAAATTCCTTACTTGGCGGTAATGCTTATAGCTGCCATTTCCGGTTTCGCTTTAAGTGACCAGAATTATGATTCCGCAGTAGTAGAAATATTGAAAGAACGTTTTGGAAGACAAGATGTTGTTATCACCTCGCATATGGAATAAATTATTATCCCTTGAACCAGTGGGAAACATTTCAAATGTTAAAGCACTGCGTAAGCTGTATGATGAATGCGAAGTCAACATTCGAAGTT